TCCCACCATCATGGCAAAATAAATAAATAAATAAATAAGCAGCCATAGACAATATGTAAACAAATGGCTGTGGCCATGTTCCAACAAAACTTTACAAAAACAGGCAGGGGACCAATTTGGTCCTGGGCCATGGTTTGCCTACCCTTGACGTGTGTCAAAAAGCAGATGCAATAAATTGGATAGGGCATCATAATAACAACAACTGTGTGTTGGATGCTTTCCGTACATTACTCCTAATCTTCCAAAAGCACTGCACATTAGGTATTATCATAATCTCGTTTTCCAAATAAGAAAACTGAGTTTCAGACAAAGTCACAGAGCTACTAAGTACTAGAGGTGAGATTCAAGGCCAAGTTTACAAACTCCAAAGTGTGTGTTCTGTTTTTTTGTTTTTGTTTTTTTTGAGACAGAGTCTTACTCTGTTGCCCAGGCTAGAGCGTCATGGTGTCAGCCTAGCTCACAGCAACCTCAAACTCCTAGGCTCAAGAGATCAGCCTCCCGAGTAGCTGGGACTACAGGCATGCGCCACCATGACCGGCTAACTTTTTCTATATGTTTTTAGTTGGCCAATTAATTTGTTTCTATTTTTAGTAGAGATGGGGGTCTCACTCTTGCTCAGGCTGGTTTTGAACTCCTGACTGTGAGTGATCCACCCACCTCAGCCTCCCAGAGTGCTAGGGTTACAGGCATGAGCCACCGCACCCCGCCTGTGTTCTGTTCTTAGAACACGTCACACTCCTGCACAGCTGAGAGCACTTAATATCAATATCAATTTTTGTCATGACAACAAGCCATTCGTCCTTCCAGGAAAGGGGCATCAGCCCTGATGCCATGTAATAACAGTACTTGCCAAATAAAAGAAGGAAGGCACAGTGACGTACAGAAAGAAAGGTTCCATGGGGACATCCAGTGCCCACCCCAGAAGGGTAGCCCAGAGTACTACACACATGTCCCAATTGTGTATCAACACTTATATGTTTTGGAAGTATATAATTAATTTATCCTCCAGTTTTTTAATCTAACCATATGAACATTTTCCCTAACCATTCCACTGCTATAGCCTGGCATCATTTCACCCTTAATTTTACAACCACCTTTCACAGGGTAATTTAATATTACAGACACCCTGTTTAAATACCAACTGCTCCCCATCACCTCCAGGATAAAGTCCATACACATTAGGCGCTCATGATGTGTGGTCCTTGTCTGCCTTCCCAACCTCATCTCTGCCTGTTGTTCCCCCAAACCTCATGCCCATCTCAGGGATTTCAGCATTTTTTTTCTTCTATCCTGAGAGCCCCCTGGTTCCCTACCCATCCTCTGGCCCACCACCCATATAACCTTCCAGTCTCATCTCATATATTAACATTTCGAAGCCTATGGCCATCCATTCAGAATCCCTATCCCGAAATTAGAAATGGATTCTAGATTCTTCTCTCCCCTACCCCAAATGATTCATCAGGATTGTATGGAACTTTAGTAAACCCGAAAAAAATAAATCATTAGAATAGTCTTTGGAAAGGAGTAACTGGCAATCACAAAAGGAGAGTGAGAAGATTGGGGATTGGTGGGGAGGGGGGAAATTTGGGATGATAAGGCGGGAGAACAGATCCTGCCTCTTGAAGAATATTTTGGGTCCATGCAAACTAAGACACCTGAAAAGCATGGATTGAGATGGATACAAAGACCTCCAGTGGCTGCACACCAATGGAGGCAGTGGGATGGGACTGCCTCCCAGTATCATGGGCTGTGACCTCTTAGAATTAAAGACAGAGAAATGTTTGTTATCTGCTGTTTTATAGAAGATCTTGGACTTGGCTAGATGGGTGCAGTTTGGTTCCCACCTGCCAGTATGTCTGCTTATGCCTTTTAAGAGTTTCAATATAGTGCATATACAGGCACATCTTATTCTAGTAAATCATTTCTCATAGTGGACAATGAGGTTTGTCTTATTTTTTTCCACTATGTGCAATCATTGCATAAGCCTCCGTGAATGTTTCCACTGCCCAGATTTGGAGTAGCAGAATTACTAGATCAGAGCTATTGCCAAATTTCCTTTCAAGTAGCTTGGCCCAATCTATTCTCTCACCGGCAATGTCTGAAATTAACTGTTTCCACTGACATTCTTCAGCACATTATTTGTTTTATTTTTCCAATCAAATGAGCAAATTCATGTTTGCCTCAAATTAGAGTGTGAAGCAAATTGTCTTGTTAAGATTATATGTAGGCCACTGGTTATTTTTTAATACCACCACACCTCAAAATCTGTTTCATCTCTTCCCCTCTTTATTTCTCCAACAATATAAATTCTAGATTCCGTAATTCTAATCTAAATTTTTAAGATCTTATTGATTTGGGGGACTTTCAGGTAAATTACTGAAAAGTTATCATCATTGAAACATTTGAATATTGATTTTTTGTAATGTAATTATGATAATATAACCAAATCTATATGACATGATTTATTTTTTTTTTCAGTGAATGATACAAGAACTTTATGTAAAACAAGAAGTTTCTTTAGGAAGGACCTCCCTGTACAAAATAGCATCTGTAGTTTTCTTTCTTTTATCTTTAAAAGTACTTGTTCTTTAGAGCTGGAAATGATCACTTAATCGCATACCTTAGATTATATCCCTATTATTTCAGGTCTTGCTGAATTATTGACAGATGCTCTAAAGTATCACTCATCCATATTTTAACTTCTGTTACAAAATGTATATTTTGGGGTTATCTACTCATCTATCAAAGATAAAGTGATTCTTACTTAAATTAATTTCTGAAAGTCTAACTTGATAGCTAAAATAATACAATCATAAATCAAAAGTCCTCTGTTTTCCATAATGGTTCTGCTTAGATTCTTATGGCCAAAGGTAATGGCTACTTCCAAGGGCTTTAACTGATGTGTGAATTCCTTTATTTCAGATGGTAAAATTGGTGCAGAAATACTGATAAATATATTTTTGTCATAGTTTGGATTTTTCTTCATATTCTTTCTTGACATCTCACACATTGAAGAATTAAACTATATGGATCACTTTTTTAAATTACTTTCAATGTATTTTGACATAAAATGAGAGAACTAAAATCTATAAAAACTTATCACAATAGTATTGTATTTATGTTAAATTACCTTGGTGTTATAATTGTTATTCATTGTTAAATATGTTAATTATGCCTACTACTATTAACATTTACTTAATTGTAGGCATGACGACCAAATGCAATGCAAGATTCTTGATTGAATACTGGATTTAAGAAGTGTAAAAGCCCTATAAACATGTGGATAATTGTAGAAATTTGAATGTGTGTCATATATTAGATAATTGTATTGTATCGATGTTAAATTTCTATGATGTGGCCAGGCACAGAGGCTCACACCTGTAATCATAGCTCTCTGGGAGGCCGAGGTGGGAGGATTGCTTGAGCCCAGGAGTTGGAGACCAGCCTGAGCAAGAGTGAGACTCCCGTCTTTATTAAAAATACAAATATTAGCTGGGCATTGTGGCATGCACCTGTAGTCCCAGCTACTTGGGAGCTGAAGCAGTAGGATTGCTTGAGCCCAGGAGTTTGAGGTTGCTGTGAGCTAGGCTGACACCACTGCACTCTACCCAGGGCGACAGAGCAAGAGTCTCTCTCAAAAAAATTTTTTTTTCTTTGGGGTTATAATTGTGTTTTAATTATGTAAAAGATTGCCCTTATTCTAAGAAGATACATGCTCAAGAATTTAAGGATGAAATGTGTCCTAAAGTCAACAATATACTTTCAAACCATTCAGGAAAAAAAATCTGTGTGTGTGTGTGTGTATGCACAGAAAAAGAAGCAGAGATGGAGTAAGACAGAGAAAGAGAAAGTAAATATGATAGCTGATACAACTGATTAATACACATTATGGAAATATAGGTGTTCATTGTACTAGTCTTTCAATTTTTATAAAGGATTAAAACCTTTCAAAATAAAAATTGGGAGGGAAATAACTGTGCTTAAAGAAGGCACATTTACATTGTATAATGTTTGTTAAGAGCCTAGAGGGACAATATCTTGTATGCCTAAAATAATCATTATGTATGTGATTGGAAATGTTTCAGTGACTTGCTGTATTTCAAACATCACTTTGCTCTGAGATAAAAGAATTAGTGTACTACCTTTGTATATCTCCAAAATGACTGTTATGATATGGATGTGTAACACAGACGTCAAATACCCTTCACTCCTCGAGAAGATTCTCAAGCTCAGAAACAATCTTCTCACACTGACCTATGCAATCAATTTTATTAAAATATCAATATGAATATTCTGACCAAACCAGGTCTATAGTCAAATACAGATATAGATATGCACAAGAGAAAGAATATGTGAGCAGGTCCAAAGATAATTCAAACAAAAGTCTACTCATGTATGTGCTGTCTTTAACACCCAAAGGCAAGCTTTTCCCAATTCACCCTGATGACAATTAAAAAAGCATCCTCACTATAGATCACATTCACTTTGAATACATCCTGTCACATAGAAAAACACTATCACAAGCTCTCTGAATAACTGACAGTCAAATCCAATTGGAATGTGATTGTGTTCGTCTCTAAAACTATATCACTGTAACTGAATTCAAGAGCTGTGTTGTCCCTACAAAATCTTGCTTAGGTTTTGAGGGCTTCTTTAAACGATGCCGAAACTAAACCAGTGTACTAATTAGTGAAAGTTGACTGAATAAATTATACAACAAATCAGACCAGTCAAAAATTTTAGGTAAAAAAAAAATTATTTTAAAAATGTTCAAAATGTAACATGAGAAAGCAAGAGAAGAAAACATTTGCCTTAATTTCTTTTTATTGTTGAATGCTTGCTTACACTCCCACTCACCCCGATTTCATAAGCTGCAAAATCATTTTAGGTGTCATAAGATCAGATTTGACTTCTACCACTAAAGTGCTAAGAAAGTGTGAGAGGTGAAATGACAGAAAATATTAGCAGCATTGTGGGGCCTGTTGCCTCCTCTTTCTTACCTTCACTAACCAATCTGTTCCTTTGGTCCTGCAGAAACTCAGAGATTGACCAAATAGAGAGGTGAACAAGCCAGCCAGTGCTCTTTCCAGAAATATTCACAAAACTTTTCACCGATAAGACCAGGAGACTAAGCTGCCTGTTGATTTGCTGTTCTTTCTATAACTGATCCCATGGAAAAAGAGTTGTTTTCGGTCAAGTCTGATTTGTGCTAAAGAAGCAGTGGGAAGTCCCGGGAAGTGAGGAGGCAATAACTGACAAACCCACATCAAGCCACAGAATGGTGTTTCTTCCTCTTTTTTGAAAAATGAAACCTATCTATGGAACTGTCTCATGTTAGAATAGTTTAATGCTACACATTTTGTAAAAATCCTATTAATAGAATTCAACTTTCTTTCTAGAACAATAAATTCTCTGATAACCCTCTCCCCAAAAGAGAGCCAAGTCAGATGTGACTAGAAAATTCTCAGTTTCATCACTAATCTATAATTTTTAAGAAGTATTATTTGTCAAGCATACTTACAATTTTTAAAAATAAGCACTTTCCTACACTTTTGGTAAGATTGTAAATATATTTATAGGTTATTCTCCAAGTATCTGTCAACATTTTAAATGTTCATACCCTTTGACCCAACAATTCCATTTCTATAAATTTACCCAAGTGATACGTTTGCACTTGTGTACAAAGACTTATGTGAAAAGATATCTGTGGCAGCATTGTTTGAGAAAGTAAGTAATTGAAAAAATAATATCCATAAATAGGATATTGGCTAAATAAATGAGTGTATCCCTACTGTAGAATACTATGTGAATTGTTAAAATGAAGTGGTTTTATGTCTAACCATAAGAAAAGATCTCTAAGATACATTGTTTAGCAAGAAATTATGTTCCAGTTTGTATGTTTAAGGACTAAATATATATATGCTTGCTTATGTAGTAGAATTTTTTTCTATATAATGCACAAGAAATCAGAAATAAGTAATTGTCTCTCAAGAATGAGACTTAGTAGTTGAACTCTTCCCTCTAGTCTGGAGGGTCCAGAGGACACGTGTGATTTAAAGGAGGTCATGGCCATTTCCAGGGAGAATAGAAGCTCACACTCCACTGGGGTTGTGAATGGCAATATTTTCCCCTTGAAGTATGGTGTGTTCATTCCTTTAAAGTGTTTTACTAAATATTTAAGTGCAAAAGAAAAGAATGAGACTTATTTTTCATTCTATACCTTTTTGAAAGTTCTATGGGTATTTATTACTTTTTCATTTTAAAAACTAGTATCCTGGCCGGGCGCGGTGGCTCACGCCTGTAATCCTAGCACTTTGGGAGGCCGAGGCGGGCGGATCGCTCAAGGTCAGGAGTTCGAAACCAGCCTGAGCGAGACCCCGTCTCTACCAAAAAATAGAAAGAAATTAATTGACCAACTAAATATAATATATAGAAAATTAGCCGGCATGGTGGCTCATGCCTGTAGTCCCAGCACTTGGGAGGCTGAGACAGAAGGATCGCTTGAGCCCAGGAGTTTGAGGTTGCTGTGAGCTAGGCTGACGCCACGGCACTCACTCTAGCCTAGGCAACAAAGTGAGACTCTGTCTCAAAAAAAAAAAAAAAAAACTAGTATCCTTAAGTCATATTTAACTTATTGATTTTTTTAATCCAAATGTATTATAATCTGTCTTTTCTGGAGGACAGCCATTGTCTATCTGTAAATAGATCAGTTCTTTTGCCCCAAAGCAGAAAAATTAAGTTTTCAAAATCATTTATTTAGCTGGTTTATCCAACTGCTTCAAGTTAATCATCAAAGAATAACCCTGCCCAAATGACAGCTACTTCGTTGTCCTTTTCTACCTAACTCCAATCAAAGCTAAGTTCCAACCTTTAAGAGGCAAACATTTCTAATTAATGAGTTTGATTTTGTTTACCTTCATTCAATGACATCTTAAAAGTCATATCTTAAAAGTACACTGGCATTTTTATTTGTGAGTCATTCCTGATTTTCTGCACTATTTTTCAGAGAAATTTACTTAGATCCAGTTGAAAGAGCAGGTTCCCATGTATAGCCATAATAAGAATAGTTTTCAAGTAGTCTGGAATCTGACTTGACCTGCCACAAGAAACTGCAGACTCATTGCCCCAGGAGCAGGTTCAGTTGCAGAGTAATCCTATAAAATCAAGTTCAAGGATATCTACAGGTTTTTGTTGCCCAAAGGACTTACTCAGCTGTGATCACAGAGGCCATAGCACCTTAGGCCAAACACTGTTTATTTCACTTTAGTGTAGGTTTAACCAAAACCATGAGGATACCCCAGAGTGGGTCTTATCTACCTCCAGAAATGCTCTCTGGTGTTCCTCAAGAACTCACTTGGCGGCCGGCGCTGTGGCTCACGCCTGTAATCCTAGCTCTTGGAGGCCGAGGCGGGCGGATTGCTCAAGGTCAGGAGTTCAAAACCAGCCTGAGCAAGAGCGAGACCCCGTCTCTACTATAAAAATAGAAAGAAATTAATTCCCAACTTATATATATAAAAAAATAGCCGGGCATGGTGGCGTATGCCCTGTAGTCCCAGCTACTCGGGAGGCTGAGGCAGGAGGATCGCTTGAGCCCAGGAGTTTGAGGGTTCTGTGAGCAGGCTGAACGCCACGGCACTCACTCTAGCCTGAAACAAAGCGAGACTCTGTCTCCAAAAAAAAAAAAAAAAAAAAAAGAACTCACTTGGCAGTACCATGAAATAACCATTGTGGTGAGTTAATCTCTTAAGTCAACTGTATTATTTAATTCA